TCCTCCTCCTCCTCCTCCTCCTCCTCCTCCTCCTCCTCCTCCTCCTCCTCCTCCTCCTCCTACTCCTCTCTCAGCCCAACAACACCGACCTCTCTAGAGGGCAGAAAATGACGAGGCGCGGATTTATCCATATCCACCGCCTGGAAACCGACGCCCTGGTGCCACAGCTGGCGGTGGATAGGGATAGGGGGGAAACATCGACCTGGAGTCGGCGATACATCGCCGATAGATCGGCGATGGGCCCCTGATAATGAATCCGCACCTTCCTGGGCAGGTTGGGGCAATCGGGCCCCTATCGGCGATCAGTGGGCGATTGGGGGTCGATGCATCCCCCCCTATGCCTATCCCCCCCTATCGTTGCCCCTGAGGGGGCGGGGTGGGAGACTGCGGAAGACCACGGAGCACTCTGCGACGGGCTCGGGAGAGCTTGAGGGGGATCCCGGGGGGGGGGTCCCAGGGGGGGACCTCGGCAGGCTCCCCTGGCCACGACCGCGGGCAGCGCACCCTCCTCCGAGGCGCGGGCGATGAGCGTGTAGTGCCAGTACGAGAACCAGAGGCAGACCGCGTAGATGGAGAACTGGTAGAGGAAGAAGAAGGTCGCAAACTCCTGCCGGCGACGAGGCGGGCCTGCTCGGGAGCGGCCAAGAGGGGGGTGTCCAAGAGGAGAGAGTGCAAATCATGACCGGCGGCGTGTGCGCGGCCCAGCGGGGGGGCCAGGGACGTAATGAAACAAGAAGAGGCGCCACGAAATCTGGGGAAATACCATGGCCCGCGCCATGATATCCCCCCCCTTCCTCCTCCTCCTCCTCCTCCTCCTCCTCCTCCTCCTCCTCCTCCTCCTCCTCCTCCTCCTCCTCTCCTCCTCCTCCTCCTCCTCCTCCTCCTCCTCCTCCTCCTCCTCCTCCTCCTCCTCCTCCTCCTCCTCCTCCTCTTTGCCGCCCCCGCGACGAGGCGGGCCCGCTGCTGCCGCTCCTGCCCCTCCGGGCTGCCGCCGCTGCACCGCGCGAGGGGGCCCCCATGCTGGAAGAGGAGCCGCCCTCAGTCCGCACAGCTGCGCCACAGCGTCGACTTCGGTCAGGTCAGTTGGGCCTCGGGGACCAGTGGCCCCGGCTGTGATGACCACGTCCTGACCCCCTTCTCGGTCGCACCTGGGAGAGGGGGCAGGGGGCAGGGCCCCCCAGACCCCCCCGGCGCCACGACTCTTCACGCTGTCCCCCGTAGGCCTCGACCCCTTCCCCGGGAACAGGTCTTCCCCGCGAGCCGCTGCTTTGACGGCCCCGGGGGGGAGCCGGCCAGGTCCACAGCATGTCCCCCCACAGGCAGATTTTGGAGCCAATATCTATATATAGGTTTATATATATATAAGCATATACATATATCTGTGTATGTGTATATATATATATGTATACGTGTGTACACATATACAAATGTACATCTATGTATATCTATATATATATATAATAATAATAATCCTCTTCCTCTATTTTTGCAAGCCCGGGCGGGGGGAAAACCCCCCACCACCCCACCCCAAAAAAACCGGACTCCCAGGACCTGGGGCTTGGGGACCCTCTGGACGGGCCTCGAGGCGGCCCCCCGGGCCTCGCAGGGCGTTTTGCCAAGCCTTCCCAGCACACCTAGGGCGATCAGGGGGTCATCGGAGACGTCTCAGAGACCCCCAAGACAGCACAAGAGCGCTCCAAGAGTGACCGACGTGACCTCAAGATGGCCCAAGAGGCCTCCAGGACGGCCCCAAAAAGGCCTCCAAGAGCACTCCCAAGAAGGCCCCAAGAGGCAAACATCATAGATTTTCTATTGGTTTTTGGTGAACTTTGGGGTTCTCCTCTTTTCGGCTTCCCGACGCTCCAAGACGGGGATCTCCTGGGCGTCCGAAGCCGCCTGAGAGGCTCCAAAATCGCCCCACAACCATCCGAAAGGGCTTCCAGGCAGTCCAAGAGAGCCCCAAAACGGCACGGGTCCAAGATGGCCCTGAGACAGCCCCATGGCGGCCCAAGATGGCCCCAAGACACCCTCCGAAGCATTCCAAATCGTGACCCGGTCGTTCAGGGAGACTGCGGTTGGAGGCAGGGTGGCCCGAAGAAGCCCCCAGAGACCTCCAGAATACGCCCAGGAGGCCTCCAGAAGGCCTTCAGAAAGCCTGAAACAACTTTTGTGCGGCCCCCAGAGGCTCTCCCAGGAGGAGCCTCCGCAAAAAAGAGCTGAGGAGGATGGGGAGAATGCGCAGAGTATGGCGAAAATAAGGAAAAAGAAGCATGGAGGAAGGATAACGAATAACAATATCATAGCGGCGATGCCGGAAAAGGCAACAAGGAGTTATCGCTAAATTGTCGGCTTGACCTTCCTGCTAATTCGCCTGCATACCTAACTTCAAGGACCAAGGTTATGGCGCGAAGCGCCACTGCAATCTTGTACATATATATATATACATACATACATACATATACATATATCAATGTGTATATATACATACATACATACATACATACATACATACATACATACATACATACATGCATACATACGTACATACATACATACATACATACATACATACATACATACATACATACATACATACAGGTGCATGCATGCATGCATGCATGCATGCATGCATGCATGCATGCATACATACATATACACACATACATACATACATACATACATACATACATACATACATACATACATGCATGCATGCATGCATACATACACACACATACACACATACATACATACATACATTACATATAACATACATACATAAATGCATACATACATACATACATGCATGCATGCATGCATGCATACATGCATGCATGCACATGCATGCATGCATACCTACATACATACAATCATACTACTCATAACCACATACTCATATACATACATACAGACATACATACATACATACATACATACATACATACATACATACATACATACACACACACATACATACATACATACATACATACATACATACATGCATGCATACATACATACATACATACATATATACATTCATACATACATACATACATACATACATGCATACATACATGCATCCATCCATCCATCCATACATACATGCATGCATGCATGCATGCATACATACATACATACATACATACATACACACATACATAGATACATACACACATACATACATACATTACATATATACACATACATACATACATACATACATACATACATACATACATACATACATACATACATACATACATACATACATACATACATAATATACATACATGCATGCATGCATGCATGCATGCATGCATACATACATACATACATACACACCTACACCTGTGTGTACACAACTATTATTATTATTCGTATCATGAGTCATACTAATAAAACAATAACACTAAACAATCTTATTAGTAATATGAATAACAAGTCTAATACTAATGATCATCATCATCAGCAGCAGCAGCATCGGCATCAGCATCATCAGCAGCAGCAGCAGCAGCATCATCAAACAATACACCAAAAGAGTCAAACAATACTCAAAGCATCCTCCCCATACTATGTTTGTTGAATATGTCCGAAACATGCCTCCTGTACAGGGACGGGCCCGACCTGACTCTGGACATCTCTCTCTTGGGGCCGTGCCTGGAGCCTCTGGGGCCGCGGCCCTCGGCCCCCGGGAGCTCTCCCGGGAGCTTCTGGAGGCCGCAATTGGGTTATGGCCGCAATTGGGCGATGGAGGCCCATGATTTGGTTACGATTGGTGCAATTTGGTTATGATTTGGCTACGAAAATTGAAAATATGGTTACGATTTGGTTATGTGAACATCTTCCCGGGAAGATTTTGGCTACGGGGGTGGAATGCATTTTGATGGCTCAAGTGTGTGAGGGGTCGATCGTAACCAAATTCTTCGCGTTTTGGTTACGCGCAACAGTTTCGAGCGTAACCATATGATTTGGTTACGTACACTACGTAGGGCTCGGAGCCGCTTCGGGGCTCCTCTCGGGCCGCCCTGGGCCCGCCCTGGCCTCCTCGGCGCGCACCGGGCGCTCGGGCCCTCGCGGCCGGGCGGCAGCGCGAGCCACCCCTCGCGCCGCCGGGAGCTCCTTGCCTGCGCGCTCCCGCCGCCGCCGCCGCCGCCATGCCCACCTCCTGCCCCCACGAGACCTGCCGCGGACAGAGGAGGGCCCGAGGAGACCGGGTCCTCCACCCCTGGGCCGTGCCCGGGGCCAGCCTCTCCGCCCGAGCAGTTTCTCGACAGCAGCAGAGCCCCGTGAGGGCCCATGGGAGCCCGATGGGTGTGCAAAGGCCTCCGGGACCCGTTTCCCTCGGGGCACCGTTCCCAGACAGCCGACGATCTGATTTTTCAATGCACGAGCCCGAAGAGATGCCAACCCTTTCCCCGCAGCACGGTGAGAGCATTGGATAAAGAATCACTGGATAAAGAATCCAGGGTCTGGAAGCCGGTGGAACACCAATTGAGGCTTAGCCATGGCTATCACCGCCGCCCTCATCAGAAAAGTAATTCTCAAGTGTCCGAAGCCTCATGGGCACATTCCTTAACGTACGCCCTCACCGTAGTTCTTCGTCCTGGAACGATGTTTGATTGTCCGAGGGGCCCGATAACTGGCCCCAGAAGCCGAATCCGAAGGAAACGCTGACATTTGCGAAAAGCTAAACACATCTCGCTGGCTCCTCCGAGGAGGAACGATGAGACTGATCTGGGCCCCTGCCTGGCGACGAAACTCTCCTCAGGGGACTACCATCAGGCCCGAACCGCTGTGTGCCAGGAGCGTTGGGCGCGAGAAGCCCACAGGCCGCCGCCGCCGCCGCTGCCACCGCAGACTGCCACCCTGCTCGCCTCCTGCAGCGCAGCCTTCCACGTATCCACCGAGAACGGGATCTCGTTGGGGCCGGCGGCGCGGTACAGCCTTGCCGCGCGCGGGCCCGCCGGTGGCTCAGGTGCTGCTGCTGCTGCTGCTGC